CCCTATACAAAGGTATATGAGGTAAGCAAGATTAGGTATTCAGGGAAAAAGCACCCCCAATTTAGTACTATGGCAGAAAGCTGCTTTCACAGGAAGGACCAAATTAGGTAAACAGGTAAATAGGGCTATAGACTGCTGTGCTGCAGGTGATGCTGCCCAGAAGGGAGCTGATTAACAAAAGAAAGGTGCCTTGTTAACCCTGAGGTGCTCTATCTGTCTTATCCCCTGGGCTAGCTAGGATAAACAGACACAGCGCCTCCCGTCTGCTGTTAACAACCATCTGCCCATCTGCCTGGTGCCAGGATTTTGTTTTATATTGAGCCAAACCCCCAAACACCGTATATCTTCAAAACCCCCTTTCCCTCATGCCCATGAGTTAATGTTCACAGATTCATTGTCTCTTCATGCATGCCCATCACATTTGTAAGCCTTCTGATCTTAATACATATGGAGCAAGGTCCCTTATTTGGGGCTCTTGTCTTTTCCCGGACATTAGCCATCTCTCATATTTTAATCCTGTCTCTGCTTTCTTGCTGGCCAAGAAAGAACTTTAGACTCAGAGTCTATGACACTTACCCACTGAGACAAGGTTGCTATAGTTCTCCAGCATCACATCCCTGTACAGGTTTCTTTGAGCAGAATCCAGCTGCTGCCACTCCTCCCAAGTGAAGTCCACAGTCACATCCTTGAATGACACAAATCTCTGTACAGGACGTTCCTGTTCAATCTAAAGTGAAAAACGCTAGGTGATGTGTAAAGCATGTACCAGGAGTCACTGCTGTTTTAATCATGCAGAGTCCATCTTAATAAATTAAAGATGTTTATACTATGAGGCCAGTTTTACTATGTGGGAGAAGCAGAACACCTATTAGGAAACCTTTGCTATGGAGAATCATTCATCCTCTCTTTCCATCAATAAGCACTTATGAGGCAACCACACAGCCAGCATTATTTGGTGCTCAGAATACTAGTATGAACAAAAGACAGGAAGTTTACAGACTAGTAGATGGAGGCAAACAAGTAAATATATAAAAGCTACAGGGTGTTAAATAAGTTATAATACAAATAGGAAAGAAAGAATGATTCTATTTTGGGAGGTTGAGTTGGGCTTTGTAGAAGATGTAGTTAGGCAAAATGAATAATGAAAAATGCAAAAATAATTTTAAAAAAGTAAAGATAAAATAACTTTTTTTGAAATGTAAAAAATGAACGGCGTAAACTCCAGTAAGATATGGAAGAGGAAGAAAGATCATTCTAGATGGAGAAAGGAGTATGAAAAAAGCTATGGCGACATGAAAAAGAACATGGCAAACTCAAGGAATTTTAAGTACTTCAGAATAAGCTCTCAGAAATCATTTATTCATATGCTGCTTTCACAATTTTTACATATCTGCATGTCACTTGCACTATTACTGACTTAAGAGTTTCAACTCAACTTTTTGACTTAAATTCATGATTTTAAAAGGAAACCACTATAGGGAAAACCAGTATCAGTTCATAAAATGAAGACAACAAAAATCTGTAAAACAAGTATATACTGATGAAATGCCATACATGGGATTTGCTTTCAAATGCTCTAGAGAACAGGGGTGCCTGGGTGGCTCGGTCAGCTAAGCACCCGACTTTGGCTCAGGTCATGATCTCATGGCTCGTGAGTTGGAGCCTCATGTCAGGCTCTGTGCTGACAGCTCAGAGCCTGGAGCCTGCTTCGGATTCTGTGTCTCCCCCCTCTCCAATTATATGAAATATCTAGAATAAGCAAACTCACAGAGCCAGAAGTAGTTTTGAGGTGACCGAGGGCTGTGGGGGTAAGGTAGAAAAGTGAGTTATCGCTCAATGGGTACAGAGTTTGTTTGGAGTGACAAAAAAGTTTTGGAAATAGTGGTGATGGATTCACACATTGTGAACATAATTAATACTACTGAATTGCACACTTAAAAATAATTAAAATGGCAAATTTTATGTTATATGGATTTTACCATAAAAATTCTATTGGTCCAAATTAACTTTGAGATAGCCTATTATAATAGATCTTGTAGATCTGGCCAAGTGGCAATAATGACTAGGCAATTAGATTTCAGTGGGATGACGGTGGCTCAGATAAAAACCATGAGGCATGGAATTCAAGCTGAGAAAAGCGAGAAGTAAGAAGTAGGGAGTGGGGTGTAAAGGACACTGAAAAAGTGGAGGATCAATGGATCGGAGCTTTGGATGGAAGTGGAGAATTACTGGAGTCAAGGTACTACCATAAACAAACCAGAAACGGAAATAATGGCCAGAATGAAATGCTTGGAGGTACAGTTATTGGTGATTATATATCTAGAATAGGACTATGGAAGTTGGTTGAGATGGGATAGAGGAAAACGATGTCCGGAAATGAGGAGATACGCTGGTACTGGAAGCAGAAGGAGTTAAAGGTCCCCAGAAAAAGACAAGACAGAGCTTCTGTGAGAAGTCATTTTAGGCCCCCAACTGTTTTCCCTCGATCTACGCCCTCTGGGTTCTACTTGCCTGTGCACATTTCTCGCAGAGCTTCCTAAGGTTAGAATTAAATGCAAAAACCTCAGTAGTTAAGGATTTTAAGGGAACAAAGGGAATGCAGAAAACTAACAGTCTCTACCAGGCTAGGAAACAGTCTAACCGTAAATCAATGGTAAAACTCCCAGTGCTGTTTCAAAAGTAAGCAAGGGCCTGAATTTCTTACCCAAGGTAAGGAACCCAAGACCCCATCCAGTTTTTACTGGCTCTCAGAGATTGCCCACAGCCCCTTACCCTTGTCTGACTTCTCCACTATAATGTTAAAGTGTCTGCCCTAAAAGAAGCACAAGCTTCCTCAAGGTTAACGTATGATGCATGCATAGGCATGTTTTCTAAGTACGCCTCTACAAACTTCTGCCTGCCTTTACATGCAATGGCAAAGCTCCACTTTCTGAATATTCATCCTAAACCCTAAATAAAAAGAGCCCACACACCCCTGCTCAGGGTGTCACAGCTTTGTAAGTTATTCCCTGGGATCTCCTTATTTACTGCAAATAAAAGTTTCCTTTGTGCAATAACTCTACCTGGTGTAGTTTCTATCTCTGACTCACCAAGGAGCAAACTCATGTTAGTTCGGTTACAGTACCAAAAGTACGGTGATAATGTGATTTATAATAAGAAATTTACATTTGGTCTTTGTAGTTCCTAGCATAGAGCTCCTAAAACCCTTGGAGGGGTGCCTGGGTGGCTACGTCGGTGGTTAGGCATCCGACTTCGGCTAACCATGGTCTCATGGTTCGTGGGTTCGAGCCCGAGTCAGGCTCTGTGCTGACAGCTCAGAGCCTGGAGCCTTCTTTGGATTCTGTGTCTCCCTCTCTCTCAAAAATAAACATAAAAAAAATTAAAACCCTTGGAATTTCCTGTGTTAGCGATAAGTATGTTCTCTCTTATTATGTTTTTTTTTTTCAATGAGATGGTTTATGGGACGGACAGATGTGGGGCACCTAAGGAGAGGGTGGCTGGTCACCAGGGGAGCCAACCAAGAATAGAGAATTGAAACTTCCAGTCCTACTCCTGATTTTTGGAGAGGGAGGTGGAGTTGGGAGGTTCAATGGATCACCAATGGCCAATGATTTCATCAATCATGCCCACGTAATAAAGCCTCCACAAAGACCCAAGTGGAGAGAATTCAGAGAACCTCCAAGTTCATGAACCAGAATGCTTCCACATGCCATGTGCCAGGTGCCAGGCCTTGAACTCCATTCTCCTTTGTTCAGGACTCTGTCTTATATGTTTTCATCTGACTGTTGATTTGTATCCTTTAATATCCTTTGTAATAAACTGGCAATCTAGTGGGTAAATTGGTTTTCTGAGTCCTCATTATGAGCCACTCTAGCAAATTAATAAAACCAAAGGAGGAAGTTGTGGGAACCTCTGACTATAGCTAGTCAGTCAGAAGCAGAGGTAACAACTTAAGACTAGTGACCGTGTAATGGAAGCTGGTCTGGATCACCCAGCAGAAGAACCAAATGGCACTCAGAGATCTTGGAAGGCAGGAGGTTTATTTCACACCAACACGCTACAGGAGATCACTCTCCAGAGGTCTGAGCCCTGAGTGAACAGGGGGGAACAATTTATAGTCTGTTACTTCCACATTCCGCATTAGTACTAATCTGGTGCATGTGTGCGGCAAGCAGAGTAGGAAGAAGAACCTGGAAGGGGAGTCTTTGGTCGGGGACTGGAATTTTTCTATCAGTCCTGTCGGCCATCTTGTAACAGATTTTTCTCTACCAATCAGAATCTGAAGTGAAGGGCAGTCTTGTGGGAGCCCTTGACCTATAGTATCTGATACTACCTCTAGGTGGGTAGTGATGAGGGAGCATGCAGCAAGCTGGGGACAAAATACAGGCTGGCACACCATCCCTCCCACCCAGTGAAATATGTGTGATATTCTTGGACACTGCTAGCTACCCAAGAACAAAGGAAAGGGGTTTAAGTGCTTGCCATGGTAATGTGGGAAACTAAGGCAAATGAAAAATTCCCTTACTGCCTATAGCCCACTGACAAGTCCTTGAGATTAGCAGAGTGACCTCCCTCTAGAAGCTCAGCTGCCTCAAGGATGACCCTTTGCTGGGGGCAAAAGAGAACATTAGCTTAACATTATCCCAACCTTGAGGATCCTGTAAGTCTACTTCCTTTATCTCAACTGCCCCAAGATATATGCTGGCAATCATACTCCAAGCTTATGGCCCCCTGATATATATCGGAAGGTTCTCATGACTGTGGTTTTATTAAACAGTAATAAATGGCACTTCCCTAGCAACAGCTAGCCCCTCAAGGTCTGGAACCTTGCTTCCAAAATTCCTTAGAGACTTACTCTACCCTGATCCTCTCCCAACCTGAGGGCATATAATGAGTTACCCCTCATGACCCCAGTGCAGCTCTTTCTACCCACAGGCCCTGTTCCTATGCTTTGATAAGATCACCTTTTTACACCAAAGACATCTTCCAGAATTCTTTCTTGGCCGTTGGCTCCAGACCACCCCACCATCACCCCCAAACTTCATCAGGTAGTGTCAAAATTGAGCTGAATTGTAGGACAGCCAGCTGGTGTCAGAAGATTGCTCGGTGGTATAGGAAAGAACCCCCACACATTAGAATTGGGTGCAGAAGTACAGGTACATAACCCAGTAGTCCCCAGGCTTTTGGATACTGTGATACAATAAGAAATATATATATTTTGGTCTTCATCCCTGGCTCCTAGTCAGAATTCCTAAAACTTTTGTAATTTCCTAAGCAATAAAGGTGTGATAAGCATCTTTTGTTCTAGTATTTGGTCTTTGACTCTGGTTCTTGACACAGGGCTCCTAAAATCCTCGGAATTTCTTGGGTGATAGGAGTGTCTTTTGTTCTAATGAGGTGACTCTTGATATTTTTCAGTTAAAAAACAAGCACGTACATCAATAATACATACCTTTTTCAAAAAAAAAACCCATAAATTATATACAAACACTTCAACACTGAGATATTATGACATTAAGAATATATGTACGTAATTCTCTTTTCTCCCCATACCCCAGTGCATCATCTTGCCCATCTTCTAGGAATGGATGCTCCCCACTTTGAAGACGACTATACTCACTCCAACTGTGTGCTACATGGTGGGTATAACCAATGGAACATTATAGATAAAAATTCAATAATATATGCCTTCAAATAAAAACATTTAAAACCATATGACAATCATAACCATTAAGATGTTTGCTAGCAGTGTTTAGCTGAGCAATAAACCAACAGAAACGAGCAAATTCACTTGATTTCCACTATCCACGAGGCATACTCACTTGATATACACTTTGAGGGTCTCAACCTATTGCATTTTAAAGGAAAAATATTTGATTATTTATTGGTTAAAAACTGCAAATTAAAATTGATACTATTATGATCTTTAATAATGTTAATTCCTTGGACCAATTTTACAACCTTTAATTTGTGGATCAAGGTAAATTTTTTGGCAGCTATGTACTTGGGCCCCATGATTTTACTGCCTTCAAATTGGATTATGCATTGTTATTACGCCCTATTGTTATTTTGAGCGACGGTTTAAGAAATAGCTATGGAGAAGCCTCCTACAGAATTTATCAAGGGTTGGTTAAGTGTTAAGGATACTGCCTACTTTATCATATGTATGCAGACCCATCAAGAGAATAACTTTAAACCTAAATGACAAAAATGCTTTCATTCCCTCAAGAAAATATCATAATGTGTAATGTAAATCGTATCTTTGCAGATGATATGCTCAACTTTAATGAACTATGAAAAACTATGAACTTGTGGGGCGCCTGGGTGGCGCAGTCGGTTAAACGTCCGACTTCAGCCAGGTCACGATCTCGCGGTCCGTGAGTTCGAGCCCCGCGTCAGGCTCTGGGCTGATGGCTCAGAGCCTGGAGCCTGTTTCTGATTCTGTGTCTCCCTCTCTCTCTGCCCCTCCCCTGTTCATGCTCTGTCTCTCTCTGTCCCAAAAATAAATAAACGTTGAAAAAAAAAATTTAAAAAAAAAAAAAAAACAAAAAAAAAAACTATGAACTTGTATCACTATATTTCGCATTTCCTTGGTCTAGACCTTCTGTTTTATTTTCCCTGATTTCTATTTACATTTTTTTCATGTAATTGAATTAATTCTTTTAAACTGCCTCAAATACAATGGAAAACAAAATGGGGTATAAATAACTCACTTACCTGAGACTTGGTCATTTTCTGTTGCTCTTCAGAAGGCACAGATATCTGTAAAGACAGAGCTTGGATGAGCAGGGAGGGGATAAAAAGAAGACCACCTTAAGAGTCTGGGCCTGCCCTGTGAATTCCTGCCCCTTTCAAAAGTGTCTTTCAGAGAGACCACAAAAGATTATGCTGTGATAACATCAACTTATTAACTTACAGTTCTGAAAAGGTCAGGTCATGGTATGTTTTACCTTTGTGAATGTGTATTCCTTTATACATTTAAAAAGTTTCTCCTCCTCCTTTGGCCCCATAAATCTATAATTAGATATTTATCCTAAAAAAAAAAAAAAGCAAGGACACACATAAAGATATATATGCAAGGATATTCATCACAATGCTGCTTTATCACTACCTAGATGTTCAACAATAGGGACTGGTTAAATCAGTTATGGAAGGACAGAATACTAGACAATCATTAAAGTATCTTAGAGAAGAATTTACAGACTTGGAAAAATGTTCTTGTTGTATTACAAAGGAAGAAAAATAGGTTATAAAACAATATATATACTGAAAAGAAATATATTTGAAAGGAACAAAAATATGTCTGAAAGGACATACATCAAAATGTTATGGTTACCTTTGGTGGTAGGATTAAAAGTGATTTCTATTGACTTGTATTTAGCATTTTCATTTTCCAGTTTTTCTAAAATAAACGGCTACTTTTTAAATTAAAAAAAAAAAAGATTGTTATTTTTAGCAGCTATTGTCCTACTGACCTCTTAACCCAAACTCTTATCAATGAAGTCCTAAAGGGCACAATTCACTAGCTTGATACATTTAATAAGCTGTAACAGTCACTGTCATCAATAGACTTATAGGACCACTTCAAATGTATAGGCTCAGTTCAAATGTCACCTCCTCTAGAAAGCCTTTCCTGGATAGAATCAGCTATTCCTTCCTCTGACTTTCCCTTAGTTTGCAACACTCTGCTACAAGGGCTTCCTGATACAAATTTAGGGCAAGGGAAGATGCAGTCTGAACTAGGACCACAGCAGTGGGAATGGGGAGGACAAACTGGAGAGATGTCAGGGAGGCTAAATCACCATGATCAGAAGATTGATTGGACATGGGGAGAAGAAGGCTGGGGAGAAAAGTAGATGTCTACAGGATTTTTACTATGGCCATCTGAAGTAAGAGTGACTCTTCATGATGATGAACATAGTAGGATGAGCAGGTGAACTATGGAGAACTAAGAAGATGTATTCTATCATGTTAAGATTGAGGTTCTGTGAGTGAACCCCACAGAGATGTGTAGGAGACAGCTGGCTACTGTGAATCTGGAGCTTATTAGAAACGTCTAGGCTGGTGCTATAGATTGGCAAGTCATGGCTTTCAAGGTGGAAGGTGATGCAATGAGTGTGGTTGAAACTGTCCAGAGAGAGCACATGCATTGAAAGAAGACAGGGAGAAAGCAAAGGAGCTTTGAGAGAGGGTTTTTGAGAGACTTTGGCTTGAAGTACTTAGCTAGCTACCAGACAGTAGCAGAGAATATAAACTGCCTCAAGTCTATTGACCAGATAGATCCAAGAGTGGAAACAAAACCTTTGGGGGAAGGATGGGAACTCTCCCTGACCCTCACATCCTTACAGGCATAAACCCATTCAAGAAAACCCAGCACAATACGCGTGTGGAATGCAGCCTGAATGCAAACCGTTACAATTCAGGGCTGGAGCCCCAATCACTAGTCGCAAACCATCTGCTCCCTAAGCTATCACACAGGCTCCTAACAGCTGCCCAATACAGCCCCACATACATTGACCTAACATAACCCTAAAGACGGATATCTGTCTTCAGGGCCCAATCATTGATTTCTATGTGACCCCAACCCGAGGGACTCAGAATCACAAAGACACGCTCCATCACTAGTCCCACAAATTCCCAATCAGTCGCTGACCCTCCTCAGAGTCCACTACTACCAGCAGCATCACTAAATACCAACCTATACCGGGCGGCAATCGTGATTTGGGGCAGGCCCGCTAAATTACTAACCAAAGACCGAAAATTACGGACCGCTAGAGATGCTCAATCGCTGATCAAACATGATGCCCTTACTCCCAATACCGCAGCCAGTGACTGAAACCTCGTTTTCTGTGAACCGGACCCCTCAACTCCCAGCCTCTCCTGCGGGGACCTCAGCTGAGCGACAAGGCCACCCCCTCCCACCGTGAGGGATGCGGACTCTCCAGTGTTAACGGCGGAAGCAGGCGCAGCCCTCGACCTGCTTCTATCGCGAGACTTTCCAGGTGTTTAGTCGGGCTGAGCCAGGAAGATTAATATGGCTGCGCCTAGTGAGCGGAGAGTGTGACGGAATGGGAGGCGCCATATTTCGAGTAGGTGTTAGTGCCGTACAGCAGAGAATCCTGAGAGCAAGGCAAGGTAGAAGTGGAATACGGGAGCTACAGAAAAGATGTACTGGGACAATGCGGGAGCAACAAAGAATCCCAGGTTTCTGAGGATAGAGTCAGGGAACCGCTCCCGCTAAGATGTGTAGAAAAGAGACACGCGGTGCAAGGTGCAAATAAAGATGGGGAAGTGGGGTGGGGGAATAGGAGAAGCCGCTCCCGTTATTAAGCCAAAGAGGAGCGTGAGGCTCAGCCAGAGTCAGTTGATCTACAACACATTGCCTCACTTCCCCAATATTAGGTATAATAATGATAAAATATGCTTACTGAGGTAGGTTATTTAATTTAGGTTTCAATTGGGGTGGAAAAGTCAGGATGGAGCAGTATTCTCCCTGAGACAGAGCACTGGGAGAGGGAAAGTCAGAATGCTTTCATCTGGTGACCTCCAGCCAGTCATCCTGGAAAATGGAATTCAAATGTTCCCCTCCTGGGAATGCTGTCCCAGATTGGGATGGGAAAACTCAGCCACTGCTAAAGACACCTCAGATGGCAGCAGAGGAGAAGTGTTTGAGGATAAACTCTGAAGGATAATCCAAAACCCCTGAAACCTCCTCTCAACCTGGTCTTGAACTTGCTCTGTGGCTTTGGGCCAGCTGCTTTCCCTCAGTTCTCTCATTTGTCAAGAAGAGGAAGGTTGTGAAATATTCATTTGGGTGTTTCAATGTTTGCTGAAAGCACTTCAGAATCTGCGCAGTTTTTAAAAAATAATAAATACCATGTAATAGTGTTATTACTGTTAAATAATTAAACAAGGAGACTATTAGACTTAGGTGGTTCGAATGCCTTAGCAACCCTCCCAAGCAAACCAAAACCTAAGCCTGTAAATGCCTCAAGGTTACGAAATCAAAACCTAAGGCCAACCAATCACAAATGAGGCTTTCCCAAATAAGACAACTGTTTAAACTATAGGCAATCAAATAATTTCCTTGCTTTGCTTCTGCAACTTCTCTATAAGAGTCTTGCCTCTAGCTCTTGTCAGTGGAGCACTTCTTACCCCTTGTGGTTTGGTGCTGCCCAATTAGAGAGTTTTTGCTCAAATAAACTTAAAAATTTTAGTATGTCTTAGTCTGTCTTTGAACATCACTACAGAATATCCAGCCCTAACTAATGCCTAAAGACACCATGGATTAATTCTTGGGGTTCACTCAGCTCTTTAAAGTCATATACAGTGGCCATGATGCTTCTGGAATGTCCTTCCCAACCATATGTCAGGAAAACTTCTATTCATGCTTCAAAACTGGGAGCCAATATCCTGTTTTAAGTTTTTTCCCAGAGTCCCCTGGCATCTGTGCCTTTTCATGGGCACAGCTGCATATGCCTTCTACTATGACAGTCATCATTGCCAAGAACGGGGATTTCCAGTGTTTGTCTTTTCTCCCCTTTGGTCTGACAGCTACTCAGGGCAAGCCTGTGTCAGTATCAGCCTAGTTTTCCCTTTTTTGTTAAAAACATATTTATGTCTATTGAGTCCCACCATAATGTAAAGCTCATTCATTCCTTCACTCACACAATTCGTTATTGTCTTGCTTGGTAATGCAAGGAACGAGCTCAGAATCTGATAGTGACAATGTAGTGTGACTAGTGACCTGATAGAGGCATGACTGGTGCTGTAGGGCACAGTGAGAGGTAAATAACTTGGTCAGGGACTGGAGTGGTAGTGGTGGTGGGGGTGTGGGATGGAGTTTGTCAGGAAAACAAGATTAAGAAGGAAAGTGTCAACAGAACAGCAGATATATACCACTTCTCACATACCTGAGAGCAAAGTGATCCCACCTCTACATCTTTGCTCAGATGGCTCCCTATGTTAGAAATACCCACACACTCCTATTTTGGGGGGAGATTCCATGCCAAAAATCAGGGGAGTCTCGTGCCTTGTGAGGTCCTAAATTAATAGTTTTTTACATGTTTAAATAACGCAGGGGTCTGCAATCTACAACACTTAGGCAAATCTGGCCTGCTGTCTGTTTTGATAAAGTTTTATTGGAACACAGTAATGTTCATTCATTTAGATATTGTCTATGGTTGCTTTTGTGCTATAATGACACTGTTGAGTAGTTGTGACGAGAACCATATGGCCCACCAAGTCTAAAATATTTACTGTTTATTCCTTCACAGAAAAAAGTTTGCTGACCCCTGATCCAATTTAATGCTGAGGGAGAAACCATTATTATCCCCTTATACAGAGAAGGAACTTCAGGCACCAAAAGGTGACACAGCTTGTTAGTGGTGCAGCCATGATGTAAACTCCCAAAGTCTGACTGAGAGCTTATGCTCCTAACCAACTATGCTACACTACACTTTAATGAATGTCTTTTGAATATCAATTAATTTCTTTTGGTAAAGAGGCAAATATAATTAATATAATTATCAATATAACTTGTCATCCAAACCAGGACAGCTTTGACAGTGAAAAGAGGTGCAATTAATCACTATATCTGGACATGGGACACAAAGCCTCTCCTGAACAATCTGTGATGTGTGATCACCCTAGAGATAGGAACAGAGATACACAAGACAGAGCAGAATAGATAGATAAAATCATGAAAGATGTTTTATTTTATTTCATAAGCC